GGGGTGGAGAGTTCTGTAAATGTCTATTAGGTTTGCTTGGTCCAGGTCTGAGTTCAAGTCCTGGATATCCTTGTTAATTTTCTGTCTCGTTGATCTGTCTAATATTGAGAATGGGGTGTTAAAGTCTCCTGCTATTATTGTGTGGGAGTCTAAGTCTCTTTGTAAGTCATTAAGAACTTGCTCTATGTGTCTGGGTGCACCTGTATTGGGTGCGTACATATTTAGGATTGTTAGCTCTTCTTGTTGCATTGATCCTTTTACCATTATGTAATGTTCTTCTTTGTCTCTTTTGATCTCTGTTGATTTAAAGTCTATTTTATCAGAGACAAGAATTGCACCTCCTGCTTTTTTTGCTCTCCATTTGCTTGGTAAATCTTCCTCCATCCTTTTATTTTGAGCGTTTGTGTATCCTTTCATGTGAGATGGGTTTCCCGAATACAGCACACTGATGGGTTTTGGCTTTTTATCCAATTTGCCAGTCTGTGTCTTTTGATTAGGGCATTTAGCCCATTTACATTTAGGGTTAATATTGTTACGTGTGAATTTGATCCTGCCATTTTGATGCTAGCTGGCTATTTTGCCCATTAGTTGATGCAGTTTCTTTGTTGCGTTGATGCTCTTTACCATTTGGTGTGTTTTTTAAGTGCCTGGTAGTCGTTGTTCCTTTCTATGTGTCGAGCCTCTTTCAGGAGCTCTTGTAAAGCAGGCCTGGGCATGATGAAATCTCTGAGTACTTGCTTATTCGTAAAGGATTTTACTTTTCCTTCACTTATGAATCTTAGTTTGGCTGGATAGGAAATTCTGGGTTGAAAGTTCTTTTCTTTAATGATGTTGAATATTGGCCCTGACTCTCTGCTGGTTTGTAGGGTTTCTGCCAAGAGATCTGCTGTGAGTCTGATGGGCTTCCCTTTGTGGGCAACCCTACCTTTATCTCTGGCTGCCCTTAGCATTTTCTCCTTCATTTCAACCCTGGTGAATCCAACGATTATGTGCCTTGGGGGTTGCTCTTCTTGAGGAATATCTTTGTGGTGTTCTCTGTATTTCCTGGACTTGAATATTGGCCTGCCTTGCTAGGTTGGGCAAGTTTTCCTGGATAATAACCTGAAGAGTATTTTCCAGCTTGGATTCATTTTCTCCGTCACATTCAGGTACATTTATCAAACATAGATTAGGTCTTTTCACATAGTCCTATATTTCTGGGAGACTTTGTTCATTCCTTTTTACCCTTTTTTCTCTAATCTTGCCTTCTTGTTTTATTTCATTGAGTTGATCTTCGACCTCTGATATCCTTTCTTCTGCTTGGTCAATTCGGCTGTTGAAACTTGTGCATGCTTCACGAAGTTCTTGTGTTACATTTTTCAGCTCCATCAATTCACTTATATTCCTCTCTATTTATTCTTGTTAGTATTTCATCAAATCTTTTTTCAAGGTTTTTAGTTTCTTTAAATTGAGTGAGAACATGTTCCTTTAGCTCAGAGAAGTTTCTTATTACCCATCTTCTGAAGCCTGATTCTGTGAATTCATCACACTCATTCTCCATCCAGCCTTGTTCCCTTGCTGGTGTGGAGTTGTGATCCCTTGTAGGAGGAGAGGTGTTCTAGTTTCAGGTGTTTTCATCCTTTTTGCGCTGGATTCTTCCCATCTTGTTGATTCATCTTTGTAGTTGGTGACTTTCAGATTGGGTCTCTGAGTGGACATCCAGTTTGTTGATGATAAGTTATTTCTTTCTGTTTCTTAGTTTTCCTTCTACCAGTCAGGCCCCTCTGCTGTAGGACTGCTGAGGTCCACTCCAGGCCCTGCTTGCCTCGGGATCACCTGCTGTGTCTGCAGAACAGTAAGGGTTGCTGCCAGTTTCTTCTTCTGCTATCTTTGTCCCAGAAGGATACCCGCTAGATGTCAGTCTGAGCTCTCCTTTATGACGTGACTCTTTGGATATACGGGGGTCAGGGAGCTGCTTGAGGAGACAGTCTGTTCTTTATAGGAGCTCAAGTGCTGAGCTGTGAGCTCTGTTGTTCATTCAGAGCTGCTGGGCAGGTACATTTAAGTCTGCTGCAGCAGAACTCAGAAACCCCCCTTTTTAAATTTCCCCAGGTGCTCTGTTCTGGGGAGTTAGGGCTTTATTTATTTCTGTTGTGCTGCCACCTTTTTTCAGGGCTGCGCTGCCCAGTGAGGAGGTAGCCTACTTACTGTCTGCCTGCAGAGGCTTTGCTGAGCTGCTGTGGGCTCTGCCCAGCTGCCATGTGAACTTCCCTGCGGTCCTGTTTATACGGGTATGGTTAGAACTGCCTCAGCAATGGCTGCCCACCTCTGTAATGGCTGACTCTCTCTGTAATGGTGGGCTGCCTCGGCAATGGTGGGCTATCTCAGCAATGGCGGACTACCTCCGTAATGGTGGACTGCCTTGGTAATGGTGGATGCCCCTCCCCCACAGAGCTGGACTGTCCCTGGTTCAGCTGTGCTTGCTGTGAAACTCTCAATCCAGAGTGTTTCAGATTGCTGTTTTTTTGTGGGGGTGGGACCAGCCAAGCCTGATCACCTGGCTCCCTGCCTCAGAGCCCTTTTTTTTTTTTTTTTTTTTTTTTTTTTTTTAAGTTGAATGGGTGACTCTGTCTCCCAGGTATTCCAGTCGCCTGTTGAAAAGGCACTGAGATTTCCTATGTGGTGACCCACTGTGCTGGCTGAAACAGCCGTGCTGAGATTTGTGGCGCTTTTTTGCCCAGGAATCTCCTGGCCTGGCTCCCTCTTTCAGTCCCCTTTTTTATCAGTTTAATGGGCAACTCTGTCTCCCAGGAGCTCCAATTGCCAGCTAAAACAGCACCCGGACCTGTGTATTTTGTGCATAGAATCACCACACCGGCCAAAACAGCTGCACTGGCAACCCGTGGGGCTCCTCTGCCTGGGAATCTCCTGGTCTGTGGGCAATAAAAATCCATCTAGAAATGTGGCATCCACTCACCCTCTGTGCTTTTGCTGGGAGCTGCAATCCTGAGCTGCTTCTAATCAGCCATCTTGGATCTGTCCCTGGATTTCATCGTATGTAAATTAATAGCTTATCTTCACAGGTATGGGACAGAGACAGGACTAGGAGTCATCCCTCTGCTCACTTGAGACAAATGCATATTTTGCTCATTAGCTCTTCTATGTTTATCTTATATAAAAATGCAAGTTCACTGAGCATGAGATGAATGCATATTTTTTCCTTTATCCCCTCCTTTCACATATAAAATGTGGATTCAGTGAATGCTCATCAAAGCCTCAAAAGAATGTAACTGTTTGCCCCTTTTCTCTACCCTCCCCTTTTCCTTTCCTCTTTCCATTACTGCCTACTTTTTTCCCTTTAAATATTGAAGTCCTCAAACCCTCTCTAGGAAAAGCACAGATCACAAATGTTCTTGTGATTTGTGTTCCTTTTTCCTAGGTATATTCCCAACGGTAGCAAAATAAACCCCTAAATTGATTGAGATTTGCCTCAGTCATTTTCTTTGGTTTACATTTCCTAGTAACTCAATCACTGTTTTCAACTTAACAGGCTAAAAGAGATGCTAAGAGAATGTCCTCAAAAGAAGTCACCATTAATGTAACAGACAGCATCCAACAGATGGACAGAAGTCGAAGAATCACAAAGAACTGTGTCAACTAGCAGAGAGTGCAAGCAGAAGGGCAGCTGGACTTCTTCAGTGTCCTTCACGGCACTAGATCCCATCAAAGAACCTTGAAGAAGTGTCTTCCCCTTACTGCACATGAATGCTACTGAGTCCCTGGCAAGACTGTCTTACCTGGTAGCAAACTGCTGTCTGATTTGTTGGGACCTTCTGAGCCTCCTACTTATCATATAAATGTATTGGTACAGTGCTCACCTATGTTAATAAACTGCAAGTGTGCAGTTCAGTTTGCCTCTTTGCAACTCCTGTAACAGGGTCTGGTGTAAAAGTAGTGAGTTAAAGCTACAGGTCAGTTTGTGAAACAGAAAAGTAGGAATGTGTTTCCTGGGTTAAAGAGTCACACCTCAGTGCTAAACTCGCCTGGCCATGATAGTGTGTTCTGTTTCAGGCAAACTTATTCTTTCCTTCTTTCATTTTAAATATTATCATTACAAATCTTATCAGGTTCACTTAAAAGCTGGCTTTCATCCAACTCTAAACCCATATATTGAAACAATCAAGGTACAGGGAAACTCCTTGTTATCCTTGTTTCCTTAGCTTGGTATGAGACAGATCAGATCCAGTATCCCATGCACCAACCCACTGCCCATGGCATGTCTTTGGGAGGTGTCTGTGAAGCAGTCATACCTGTTTCTCATCTGCCTGGAAAGTCCTCCAGTCCTTAATGTCACCGTGCTTGTGGCCAATGTATCCAAATAAGGACACCCCTGAAGGCTCAGACAGACATTGCAATTTTGCATAGCTTTCCAGCTCCCTTTGCTTGTCTTCTTGAATGCCTTCCCTCTCCATTGGGGTCATTTGCAATTGTGAATCAAAGGCTGAATACTGCGGAGGAGAGGGAGATGATTCAGAGACATGCGGCAGCATGCATGGCTTCCCCTTGGCCTCTCTGTATATAGCTCCAGGACTGTCATGTTGGCATCCACAAAGGAATCACTTTAGAAAGCCAGCATCTGTTTTATGTGTATTCACTCTGACATTAGGTTGATGTGCCCTGCATTAGAAATGAGGTAGCTGACACAGAAAAACGATGTTTTGATAGGAATAGTTTTCTCATATGTTCTGAAACATGTTCATCTAGAAGTATTTTCCTGCAAAGTAATGTAGCATGATTTTTTAAGGACTGTTAACATGCCTGGGATTGGGAAACACAGGACTAAAGTTGTACCAAACTATACCAATAAATTCCATATTTAGCAGAAATAGGCAGCCTAATGGTGTTATATTTATATAACATAGTCCAGAGAACTGATATGCAGGTCAAGGGTCAGGTACTCAACCTCCTTATCTGCTAACTCTGTTATTCTTCAAACCCAAATGGGTAGTGTCATTGTTCCTTCTTTCCTTCCATTGGCAGATTGTATATTTATTTACTAAACATTGAATGTCCATCCTGTGCCAGGTACTATGCAGATGCTGACAGATTTGGGGTCTTGTAGTCATGACTGTCTATCCTGAATCTAACAGTGACTTCATAACCAGGAGACTGAATTAGACCCTAAGACATCGTGTGTGTTGCAAATTGCTCTGCAATGGAATCTTTTATATCCAGGGTAGGTTTGTTTCTTAACTAGGTGTTCTAATCACTGTACAAGACTATATCACACACAAAATTATAGTTTTTCTAAACCTTTATCATTTTGTGATTCTTTGAGAAAGGGCTTTTAGGGAACTTCATGTTCTAAAAAATGTTTTTAATAATAATAAAATAAAAGCAAAACCTGTGACTCATATGTCCCCACTGGCATTACTCAGCAGGAGCCCCCAGCTGCCGAAGGTTGGCAGTGACCCTGCAACTTCAAGGGCTCTTTCTCCCAGGGGATGTGCTTTGTGGCTTCTCTTTACTGCTTTGTTTCTACATCCATTCACTGCTGCATGTTGTTTGGAATTTATCACCTTAAGAAAGTGTCTCTGTTTTATATAGAAACACTTTCTCACTTCCAGGGGAGAAGGAAATGCAGGGCATATAATCTAGTCTTCCCCAGAACAATCTGGATTTCACAGAGACAGCACGCAGAAGTTAAACCATGTGACTAAAAATGCATCTGGCTACTTTTTCAAGATGACACTTTTCATTGCAAAGTTTGTGTCAATAAAGTCACGAATTTTAAACATATATGGGCAGTTACAGAGAATCTTTACTGGAACCTTAAATTTGTATGCAGAGTTGTTTAGGCTATTTTTTCTTTTTAAACAAAGACCTTTTACATAAGTAATCCCTGTGAATCCTCCAAAAAGCCTTGTGAAGTAGGTAAGGAGAATGTTATTAGCGCCAATTTATACTTATAGAAATATTTATAGTCCAGTCAATTAGTAAGTGATGGTACAGAGATTCAAGTGGGGGAAGCCTGTCTGCAAATTCAATTCTTTTCCTACCACCACATGGTGCCACCATGGCAAGAAGGTCTGGTGTGACTGGGAGATGAGGCTATTTAGAGGGGAATTGTCATGGAGCCTCAGACTGGGATGAGCCCAAGTCTAAGCGGGCAATTTGAGTGATTGGAGGGGGCTAGAGAGGGCCAGAGAGAGAGGACTGAAGAGGGCTGGTAGTGAAGGCAGTGATTGGAAAGGGCCAGTGAGCTCTCAGGGAGTTTGGGCCTAGTTCAGCCTCACTTACATCTCCAGAGAGGGTGACCTTGACCTGGTATGCGAGGTCAGAACACTAAGTGGGACTTTATAATTCAGAGAAGATAGAAACTGCACCCCTTGGAATAACCACTTAGACCTAAAGGTAAGGGATGCCAGGATCCTCCCATGTTGCTGCCAATGCCCTGAACACTGCTTGGGTGTACAGGTAACAGACTGTAGCCACTCCCTCACCCTTTACCCACAACCCACCTTCACAGTGCTTTCCACAACCTGCCTCCATCTCCTAGGGTACCTGAACACAGGTACTACTGTTTGCACTGTCTAAGTCCTACTAACCTGCATCTGTTTATGATCCTCAGCACCCAGACTTGTGGGCTGCCCCATGTGACACTGAAGTGCATCCCATTCACATTTGCTGCTCTAAGCAGGGTTCACAACAATGGCAGCTCCTCTGCTGAAATCAGGTGACAGACCTGCTGTGTTTAGCTGTCATGTTGTCAAAACCTAGAAATTTCACATAAATAGCCAGCTCTGGCAGAGACTCCTACTTTAGAACTCCAGTATCCATCCTTCCCTTCTTCCTTAGTTGAGCACATGTCTACTTAAAACAAACATTACACTTTCCAGCCTCCCTTGCAGCTAGAAGTTGCTGCATGATTAAGTTCTAGACAATGAAATGAAATAGAAGTGAGGCATAGAAGCTTCTAGGAAGTCAGGCCCTTTCTTTCCCCTTTTGCTTCCTGCTGTGCAGAATGAGGAGCTAATGGCTGGGGCTACATCAGTCCCTTGGGCCACAAAGTAAGTTCAAGAATGAAAGCCATGCCAAGATGAGCAACAAATTAGAAGAAGCCTGGGTCCCTAATTCCATTGAGCTTCATGAGTCTTGGACTATATGTCCCAAACTTCTTTTTGTGGGAAAGAAATATACTTTCCCTCATTTAAGTTGCTATTTCAAATCGTTACTCACAGCCAAAACTAATTCTTTTTCAAGTTTGAGAAATTCAACAAAACTAATTCCAATTTGTACGTATATACTTTCAGCTTCTTTTGAAAAATTGGAAGATCACTTACCTTTGGGCCCCTCGCTGCTTGGCCACATCTGGCTGGAGCTGATGAGTCTGCATTAGCTGGAGCTGGAGCCTCTCCAGATTGTGACAGTCCCTACCACTCACTGTGGCTTACACATGGTAACTTCCCCATTTCTGTTACCTGCCAGAACCCAGAGACATTTGAGATTATAACTCCTGCTCCACATTATGTTCCCAAACATACTATTTTTATGCTCTTTTCAGGAGTCATTGAGATATACAAGATCCTTTTCTCCTGTTTCACCAGTCTGGGAAGTGGCCAATCTCAGGAGAATTTTCTGAGCAAATTATGAATATTACCTAATATTTAAAATCATGCATTCACTTGCTCATTGATTTAATCAAAATGTATGTACTAAGATACTTAAATCTGCCAGAAGTTAGGATATGGTGAGAAATACAACAGATCTGGTCCCTACCCTCACAGAGCTTGCAAAATAATAGAGGAAACAGACAATAACAACATAAAGAAATAAGTTATTACAGTCAGTAACTTAAGATGGGGGTAAATGCTGAAAATGTTAACAGGAGAATAAGCTAGACGGAGGCAGGAATGGAAGCAGGAGACCATTTAGGAGGCTACAGCTGTAGTCCTGCGAAGAGATGTCAGTGCAAGGAATAGCATAATAGTTGCAAAGATGGATGAAAATATATGGATACTGAGAACATTTTGGAAATAGAAACATTAAGACTTGCTGATGGACTGCTGAAGTGAAGGGAGAAATCAGGGTGATTCCTAAGAGTTTGGTTTGAGCAATAGGATTCTTGGCAAGATAGGGGAAAACAGAGTGGGAAAAGTTTTTTGGGGAGGCAGTGAAAATCAAAAAGATCAATTTTTGGACTCATTAAGTATGAAATAATCAAGGGGAGGTGTCCAGTAGGGAATTGGATGTACGAGTCTAAAGCTCAAGGACTTGGTCGAGGGTGCAGCTGTGCATTTGGGGTCATCAGCACACAGAAGGTATTTATTGGGACAGGAGTTAGTTCACCTGATGAAAAGCTGGTGAGGAGTGTTCAGGGCTGTACCAGGAGACACTCCAACATTTAGGGAGTTGGTGGTGGAGGAAGAATCAGTAGAGGGTACTGAGAAGTGCTGAGGCAGTTAGAAAGAAAATGGGGAGCTCATTTACTGAAGCCAAGATTTAAAAAAAATGTTCCAGGAAGGGAGATATGGTCAGTCATGGTGAATGCTACCGAAAGATTAAATAACGTGAGAACAGAGATGTGACTCCAACTAGCACCATGAAGGTGACTGGTGATCTTAACAAGAACACTTCCAGCAGAGAGGTGGTCATAGAGCCAGACTACAGAGGGTGATGACTGGAGGGGTGGTGAGGAAGTGGAGAGAATGAAAAAAACCTGTCTTTTGAGAAATGTTGCTATGAAACAAAGCAAAAAGAGGCCAGTAATTGGAGAGAGAGATGGTTCAAGGAGTAGGTGTAAAAAGTGGGACATACTAGAGTATGTTTCTCAACAATTGCAAGGATTCCTTAGAGTAAGGCTGAAGCTGGAAGGGTGGGGGCATTATCCACAGAGTAAAAAAGTCCTTGAGGAAGTAAGAAGAGAACAAACTTAGGGCACAGGTAACCACATTGAAATTTAAAACCTCTATATGATAAACATTCACATAAAGATGAATGATAGTCTATTAGAAGATATCTACAGCCTATGTATCAAAGAGTTAGTATAGTGATATACATTAAAAAAAATGAGAATTTCATAATCAAAGACAAATGACCCAAGAGAAAATAACATGAACAGACAAGAGGAAAGTTGAATGGCTAACAAAAATATAAAAAGATCCTCAGTGTTATCAGTAATTGGGCAAATTTGGGTTAAAAAAAAAAAGAGATGCCACTTTTTTACCTATCTGATTAGCAAAGTTTTTAAAATTTGATAATAACAATGTTGGGAAGGGTGTGTGAAAGAAGTGATGTCAGACATTGCTGATTTAAATGAAATTCGTGATACTATATAGAATGGTGTAGGGCAGACAAAGCTTTACCTATATCTTTGTAGGAACCCCAGCAGGGCCTGAGAATTAGATTGACATAAAATAGACTAGCAGGAGAGAAACCTAAAGATTTATTTAATTTTTAAGTTTTATGTGACTTGAGAATCTTCATAAACAAATGATGGCTCAAAGAAGTTGCAAAACTTCAATGCTTTCCTACTATGTTGGACAAAGAGGGGCGATTGTGAAAAAGTAAAATATACAGGAAAGCTAAAGAAAGGTGAGAGTTGTTTCAACAAAATTCGATTATCTGCAGAGAGTTCTCTCTGTCTCTGGTGATAAAAATATCTCTTTCCTCCAGGTACAGAGAGAGCATCTTTTACATGGGAGTTTTATATGCTTTCAGGAAAAAAAGGAGAAGTCAGAAAGTTCTGCTTTAAGAAGGGCATGGTGGCTCATACCTGTAATCCCAGTACTTTGGGAAGCTGAGGCAGGAGGATCACTTGAGGCCAGGAATTCAAGACCAGCTTAGGCAACATCACAAGACCCCAACTCTACAAAACAAACAAACACACACACACACACACACACACACACACACACACACACAATTAGCCAGGCATGGTAGTGTGCACCTGTGGTTCCAGGTACTCCGGAGGCTGAGGCAGGAGGATCACTTGATCCCAGGAGGTCAAGGCTACAGTAAGCCAAGGTTGTGCCACTGTATTCCAGCTCAGGAGACAGAGTGAGATTTTGTCTCAAAAAAATTCTGTTTCCACCTGCTCTTTAAAAGTGCCTTTATTTCAAAATAACCCTTATGCCAAAATGACATATTCTGGAGAGGCATATTCTGCCACTCTTCAATGTCAATTTAGTCAACTTATTAAAATTTAAAATGTGTACATTCTTTGGCCAAACAATTTCATCTTTAAATAAATACCTGAACAGTGTCCCTGTCAAATTCACATGTTGAAGTCCTAACCCCCAATATCTGAGAATGTGACTGACTGTATTTGTATGTAGCATCTTTCAAGAGGCAATTAAGGTAAAATGAGGTAACCTGGATGGGCCATAATTCAGTATGACTGGTGTC